AAGAAAAGACTGGATGTAGCACTTAGTGTCATAATTCAGTCATGGAGACAGTGACTCCACCACCTTCCTGGACAGCCCAATCCAATGCCCAGTCACTACTTCTGTGAAGAACTTCCTGTTGTCCAGTCTAAACCTGCCCTGGTGCAGCTTAACACAGATCCTTGGCAATAATGGTTATTGATGATGTACTAGTGTTTCTGTACTCAGCTTGCCTTCGTATATTAAACAAATGTATTTCTCTTTTTCAGTACAAATGGTTCTCATCCAGCAACAAATCTACATGTCCGCTCTGTCGAGAGACATTCTTGTGAAACAAAATGTTCTTCTTTCTGTGAGCCAAATAAGAAATACAGAGCAGGCAATAAACTGTATGTTGAAAGAAGTTAACTATTTGGAAATAATGTCAGTTACTTTAAGTTCTTCGCTAGTGGAATATGGACACACCTCTGGACTGGCTTTTTGTAAATTTGAAGATTCTTCTTTGATATAAAGAAATATATAACAATAATTTATTTTAATTGGTATATTTTTAAGATATATTAAAATTTTCAGAAATAATGTGGAGTTATGTCTGAAAAGTGGTGTTTAAGCCACAGCATAGTTAATTAAAAACTCTTATTTTAGGCATATTCTAACATGGTGTTATGTAATTAACCCAGGTGAAACCTTTTAATATAACAGCTGAATATAACATAGGTTACCACCTAAAGATTTGATTTTTTATTATAATGCATTCATAACAGTCCCTTTTTTTGGGGAAAAAAATGCTGTTGCTTTTAGACATTAAGGCATGAAACTGGGGTGATAATCTATTAAAGCGCAAAATTTAAACATAGCCTCTTCTAATAAAATGAACTTTCACCTTTCAAAGTTTCTTTTTGCCAAAACTCCCCAACCATCCAGTAGCCTAAAATCATGAAAACCCAGAAGGCCAACTAAGGAGAGAGACCACAAAGAGAGAGACCAACAAAGTTCCTGCATCACAATGACACCATCTATTTATTGCTGATAGGCTTTTAAAGAGAAGGCAGATGCACTGATCAGTTCTTGTTTGTCTTCATGAGCTGGCAAATTAGCTATCACCGAATGTCTACTGTACTTCCACTGTCCTAGAATAATAAGTGAGCATCCAGATGTATCAGAATTTAATAGCCTTCAACTATACATTTTTTCATGCCATTTTTTTTAACAGTGATATCATACTAGTATATTCCAACTTGGATGGTATTTGTGGTGGGTTTCTTTGAAAAGTCAATAGAAGTGGGGAATAAGTAAATAAATGTTGTCAATCTCTGTAGTCTCTGGTTTGCTATCTCTTCCTGTGTGTGATAAACTTTTAGAAATTCATTTTATAGATTTTCAGGTGCCGAGTTTGTAGCATGGTCAATTGGCTGTACCTCAACAGCTATTATTTTAGATTTTTAGCTGTTGATAACTGAAGTCTGTATTTTTAACAGATAATGCTGGGCTGCCAGAGGAGAAATTCCTTGAGCTTTTGTTTTGAGTAGGTGAGAATGGAAAGGATTTAAAGCTGGCATTGAGAAGGTCTAACTGAAAAGACAGAGTAGGGAACAAGCTGTATTGTTTCATAGTTACTGATGCTAAAACTCCATCATTGCCTCTGTTTCATCACTTTGGTTATTCTAAATTACTTCTTTGCAAAGTCATTGACTGATCTGAAGGCAGATACCTTAATACCTTTTCATGGATGAGTACTCTTCATCTAGATTACTCCATAGTAGTATCCTCCTTGTAAAATGGGATAAAAGGGAGTACAATCATAACCACACTGCTGCCCAGAGATTTCAGGGCAGTAATAGCCTGCCTTGAATCATGGAATTGTTAAGGTTGGAAAAGACATTTAAGATCCTCAAGTCCAATCATAAACTTAGCACCACCTCCGTGTTCACTATTAAACAGTGTCCTCAGGTGCTGTATCCACATGGGTTTTGAACACTTCCAGCTATAGTGACTTGGCCACTTCCCTGAGAAGCCTGTTCCAAAACTTGACAACCCTTTTTTCCTAATATCTAATCTAAACCTGCCCTAGTGCCATTGAAAACCTGAGGCTGTTCTATTTTGTCCTGTCCCTTGTTCCCTGTGAGCAGAGCCTGATCCCCACCTGGCTCCACTCTCCTGTCAAGGAGCTGTGGGGAGTGAGAAAGTCCCCCCTGAACCTTCTTTTCTCCCACCTCCCTCAGCTACTCCTAGTGCTGCAGACCCTTCCCCAGCTCTGTTCCCTTCTCTGGATACGCTCCAGCACTTCAATGTCCTTATAGTGAGAGACCCCAGGATTGGACATGCTTCATGTGAGAGACAACTTTGAAAATTTAAAAAGGTTTATTAAACCTTAACAAAAATACAACAAAGGACTACATAAGGGAAAAGCTGCAGTGCCGAGAACTGCCCCTCGTGCATACCATATGGCCAGTTCATCTTCAAGATGGATGCTCAGTCTTTTATACCACTGGGGGTTGCATCAGCCAGCCCTGGCCCCTCCCAAAGTCTGTCAGTCAGTTCTTCTTTGCCATTTATCACTGGAGACTGCTTTCTTGTAACTTGATTGGAGATCAGGTGTTGCCATGCCGCACCCCCTAAGCAGCAAGCTTATCCATTCCCCACTGCCCCATACAAGGGACACATGCAGCCTTCTTTTTACCTGCCCTAGACAGCCCTGGCTGTCTGATGGTCACAATACAGGGGGAAAAGGGAACTGTGGAGAGAACAGAGGACATCTAAACTACAATAACATAACTATACATCACTAAAGCTTTTATTAATATTCACAACACAATAGTTATCTTTTAATTGCGAGAGCAAATCATCCCATTATCCGTCTATAACACTTCAGCAGTGCCCAGCACAGAGGGACAGTCACTGTGCTGGTCTTGCTGGACACACCATTGCTGATATAGGCCAGGTGCCTTTGACCTTCTTGCTTACCTGAGCACACTTGGCTCATGTGCAGCTGCTCTTGACCAGCACCCCCAGGGCCTTTCCTGACTGGCAGCTCTCCAGCCACTCTGCCTCAGCTTGGAGCTCTGCTTGGGGTTTTGGAGACCCAAGCGCATCACCCAGCACAGGGAAGACCCTTGCTTCACCTTTCTATTCAGAAGGACACCATTTCCTTCTGACAGAAACAAACTCCCTAACTGTGCCTTGGACATGTAAAAATGCCTGATAACTACATCAGAAGGAGTACCACTGATTCAGAGCATTTAAACCCAGCATAGCTACAGAGAGGAGAAATTACAGACTGGAAGTTTTAATGGTTGTCTGAAAGCTGAAGTACAGGATTTCTACTTCAGTGCTAGTTCTACATAGTGCATCTTTGTGAGAGTCTGTCTGAAATATCACTCATCTGCCTCAGAATCGTCATTTGGGGACCACTGAAGAAGAGACCCCCCCCATCTTAAATCTCTGGTTCTGTAGGAGAAAGTTACACACGCCAAGGGCCCTGAGACCTAAGCATAGTGCTAAGCTATTGTTCACAGGTGGTGTTTGCTGTATGCTACACTGAGCCCAATGAAAGAAGAAGGGGACACCGTGCCCTTTTTGCAACAACAGCCGTGGAAGCTGTCCCACCTCTTGGCCTGGCTGGACTTCTCCTGCGTTCTGGGTGGTGCCCCCACAGAAGACCCCTCACTTGTCTACAATTGCTGTGACAGACAGACTGAGATGTAAGAAGCCTCTTCACCGGAGAAAAACTGAGACATGAAACCCCTATGTGAGAAGACCCCCTCTCATACTTTGCAAGGACTGGGACTGAAACCCCCAACCTGGGGGAGGTGTGCGGGGGTAGGCAAGCTGACCAAAGCAAGACAGATGTTGCAAGTGTGACCACTGGACCAAGAAGACAATGGCTCTTGCTTACTGCTGAGAACATGGACTACCTGTAACATATATTCCTTTTTGTATCTGTGTCCCCCCCCACAATTTCCAATAGAGTTATCATAATAAAAACCTCTGAGTTAGCTAGAGATTTTGAGATCTCCCAGATGTAACAGGCGGATCCTTGGCTGGACTGGACCAAAGGACTTCGCCTCTACGCTTGGTAGCTATATCCCCTTCTTTCTCTCTCTCTCTCTCCCTCTTTTCTCTCTCTTTTTCTCTCCCTTAATCCCTCTATCGCATTTTGCTGTAATCATTCAATAAAAGTGCATTTGTTTTGATTATTACTGCAAATCCCCTGTGCCGTGTCTGGTTTTTTTGCACCCCGAGATCAATCCACAAACCATCATGAAACCCGTTCGTAAGGACGGATCATGACAATCTTGTATATATATTTATACAAGTCTCTAATAAAATTCAGTTCCTGCCACTACTCGGGTCACTAATCTTACCAGACCACTAGTCAGTGGCTAAAATTTAGAATTCAACCCAGCAAACCCAAGTGTAGGCTTGGCAATTTCTCTTAGAAATGGGAAAATGGATTTCTAGTCACAGCACTACTTATTTGTTACAGAAAGTGAAGTAAATAGTTCAGGCTCTGTGATGGTGCATCCCCCTTCTGCCTCAGGCTGCACTATAATAATCTCAGAAATGCTCAACAGGCTCTCTTTGCTTTCATTTCTGTATGTATAGAATTGAGCTAATATTCCTTTGTGAAAAGAATAGTTTTTAAAACATGAAAATGAGAAATATATATCTGAGGGCTAAGCATAATTTATTATTGCATGCAACAGTTCTACTTGCTTATAGTCTAGTAGTGCTCTCTGCTAGGCAAAGATTGTGCAGTTGTAATTCTGGAAACACCATGATTGTTTCAGAAAATGTACAGGTGCTATGTAAGTGGTAGATGTTCACCCTAATACTATAAAAGCAATTTTAAGGCCATAATGTCAAGGGAAACATGGATTGGGAAAATACTTTCTACAACTAAAAATTATTTTTCAAATTGTATCCATTTATTTTCCAAGAGTTGTGACAATCCTGGGCCTGCCAACACCTACTTCAAAGACAGTGGAAAAAGGAACCAGAAAGACAACTTCCCTTCCCTTCCCTTCCCTTCCCTTCCCTCATAATATACTTTTACCTTAAATCCAGAGAAATGCATACTGATTAGGACAAATATATAACTGAGCTCTTTCAGTGGTGACTTGGCTCACAAATACATTCTGCTACAAGCTCTGTGGTTTGGGATCATAAGAATTAGCAAACTCCATCCCAACAAAGGTGATTGAGTCACATGCTTTGACATGGATCCTGAAGACAAACTTCAGAGAAATTTAGCTTAGAATTTTGAAAACTTATCTAAAATCTGTAAAAGCCACCTGCAAACATGTTCCTAGATATACAGGGTACAGAACTATAGGAGAGGCTCATGAATGCTGAGGAGTCTACACTACCTAACTGGGCACTACAGCAGCCACAGCCACCTCAGCCACTTGGAGGTGAGAGGGAGATGGCTCTTGTCCCCTTGGTCCAAAAGAACCACTGTCAGTAGACAGAGCATTTCTTTGTAAAAAACGGGTGAGGAGCATAGCACCTAACACATCAAGACTGCCTGCTGCTGGGATCATAGCCAGTAAGCCTTCATTCTGTCCATAATAATGAACATCCTCTCCACATCCCCAAGAGCATGTTATTCATTTGTGGCTTGAACAGGTTGATAGCAGACCCCACTTGAGGGCTGATCCTTTGTCCCCATCCCCAGAGAGGTGCTCCCAGTGTCTGCTGCCTGCCCTGCTCCTGGCTGGGAGGTAGGACAAATCCTGGCTGCTGGACTCACTCTGCTGCTCTGAACCAACCCTCGCCCTACTGCACTCTGACACAGGCAGAGAAATCATCTGTAATCCCACTCAATTTTCTCTGTGTGGGGGACGGGAAAGGATCTAAATAAAAAACACAATGTAATCTCCTGTTTTTACTTTATCTGATTACTGTGGAAGTTAAGGCGGAAAGTACCAGACTTTCAAAGCATACTTTCATTTTCTACTTGCAGGATTTTTTTGGACGAATGTGTCAAAGCATCCTACTTCCTCCGGGAAATGTTTTAACTAAAAACATACCCTGATAACCTGAATCTGCTTGCAGAAAAAAAAATACTCTGTAATTTACACTTGAAATATTTTCAATGTACCAAAAGTGTACAGATAAAACGTGCAGTTCCCACAGATGGGGGATTTAGTGAACTGTCAGACCAATGCAATCATCTGCATTTGCTCTTGTAACAGATGTCAACATCCGAGCTCACCTTCCTAATCTAACAGTTATTCCCAAATAGTTAAGTGATGGCAAAAATCTCACTAGAAGAGTGGATGCTACGGAAGAGAGAGATGTCAAATACCAAAGAAGGCCACACAGAGAGGTTGCCTACACCAGGAAATTTTTGCCCAGTATATGCCAGAATTTTATCTGTCTGTTTCTACAGATGTATGGTGGGTAGCACACCCGTAAGTCAGGCTGACTGCATCAAGAAGGTGTGGAGGGTGTCATTCTACCCAGCCCATGAGCATCAAGGACCAAAAAAAACCATCCTCCACTTCAGTGCCAGCCAAAGCCCAACTTAGTTATTCAGGAAACACCAAAGGTAAACTTTAAAGCCCTCTCCATCCTAGAAAAGGTCACAATGAGTGACCAAAGCCTCTGCAACCTGGCCATCCTCTGAAGGGAAGAAAGAAGAATGGGCAGAGAAGAGCAGGCAGGGAGGATGGAGGTGACTTGGCTATGCAGGGGCAGAACCTTCTTCTCAGTGTTCTTTTCCCTGGGCAGGCATCCCTCCCTTCTGATGAGGGTTTTAAAGACATGACCTGTGCAGCCTAGGACTGGTTCTTTGGCAAGCCACTAGATGGCAAGAAACGGCAAGGACTGAGCACCAGCTGTGCCCTTCTTCCCTGCAAAAGGGATCCCTCGTGCTTCCCTCAGGCCCCGGCTGGAGTCAAGCTTGTAGAATGCTCCTCCTAACTTCATCGGAGAGCATCAGAGCACAGGCACAACCCCTCTACACTCAACGGTCCTCGAATTAATTTCCTCTTTTTATTTGTAGGCGATATTTGGGGTGTTTTTTGGTATTGCTTAATTGTCTTGCTGTGCTAGAAGAAGTCATGGCACCTGTTCTGAGATGCCACTGAACTGTGGTGATTCGTGAACAAAGCCTGTTCACTTTAGGGAAGAGCAGGTGCTTCTCTGTAAGACAGGTTGACGTGCCACCAGCTGAAAGTGATTTTCATTGATTAAAAACAAGCCAAAGTCCTCACAGAAACGTATATTATATCTTTAATTGCTCAACCTTTTGCTCTTTTTGCTGCAGCATTATGCGTCCAGATAAAAAATCCCACAGAACTATTGAAATTTCAGGGGTAAATGTCTTTATTCTGAGCAGTTTACAGCACTACCAGCTGAGGTATGATTTTTATTTGCATTTTTATCCAGAACAACTCTCCTTTGTTAACCTAAAGAACACCAAAATAATTTTACTGTAATTATCCATTTTCGAGTCTTTTCTCCAAGCTTAGGCTTTTTCATTACTCTGTGTCAGTCAGAACCTTTATAATCCAAAATGTTATATGCCAAACAGAACAATATTGTTATTAGCAATGTCTTTGTTACCTCCTGTCTTTATGGACCCAGAAGAATTCCTTACAAGGATGAAAGCTGTCCCCTGCCCCAGCCCTGCCTCGAGTCCTGGATATGCCTGGCTACATAAAGCCAAGTCAGGGAGCTGAACATCTTTTGTTTTGATGACTCTCCAATTGCGACAAGTCCCAACCCCTCCTTGCAACCTGCAAATACAATGCCTTATCTGCAAGGCTTGCTTCTACTTGGCTGTTCCAAACAAATGGTTAAACTAATTGACTTCTTTAGACTTTCTCAAAATAATATGTTTCTTTTAAATTTAATTTCTCTGTATTTTCTACTCCCAACCAGGTTTGTTTCTGACAGATACAGTATTTCAAAATATGTTGTCTTTTCCCAGAGTTCCTTCTTCCTTCAGGAGGCAACTAATTCAATGTAAAAGAAAGTATTGTTTGTCATATGGAATGTAACCAAGTCTCTTAAATCTGACCTTGTCATCTTCTCCCTGGAGCCCAGCTCTGGTGTGGGACTCATTCCACCCACTGCAGACAACTACAGTGGCATATTGTATCTGAGCCAGGCACCAAAAGGCTCCATTGAGACTCATGGGAGAAAGATGAATCATATCTCAGAATCTGTGCACATCATAGTTATGTGGGCATTGGATAAATCACTACATCATCATCACTGGCTGATTCGGTCCTTGATTAGGAAGGAAGTCTACCACCCACAGAGTTGCACCAGAGCTGTGTGCCAGATGTCAAGCCCCAGTGACCTTGCTATGAGCTTCACCAAAAACACAAATTCCTTTCATCTGCTGTCATGCATTTATTTTCTGTCTTTTGCAAGCCTCCTTTCCAACTGCTGTAAAAAACATCAAAAGGATCAATTAAGGCAGGTCAAACACTGAGATCTGCTTGCCTGATCTGTCTGCTAGGTCTGACATCCTCTGGGTCTAAATCCAGGACTGGAGATCCTCAACCTGCGTGAGTGTCCTGCTACAGCTATGGACAAAAACTGAGCAGGAAGCAAAGCAACCATGAACCACAGCAGAAAGTACCTGTCATCCCTTAAAACACAGAGGATTGGAAGCAACTGAAGCTACAGGGCTGATCTCAGGAGCTCAAAACAGTGAGCAGGTAACACAAGGAAGGTCTCAGTGCAAGAGCTGGCACCCACCGCTCCGCAGTGCAGGTGAACAGAGCTGCTGCCTTCTTCCCTAACATCAAGGTGGCAGCAAAAGGAAATCCAACATTTGTGTACACAAAAAATTTCAGGCCAGATCATAAGTGTCCTTTAATCCCTGTGGCATCTGAAGCAAGATACCAGATTTCTAGGTAAACATGGAAAAGTGCTGCCTTCCCCTTCAGGAATAGAAGGTAATAGATAATAGAAAAGAGTTTTTTCATAGTTTCATATTTGTCTAAACAGAGAGCCTTTGAGGGTAGCAGACATACCACGCAAGCTGTTGCATCTAGAATTAACCTCTTTCCATCGTGGAACTTCCTTAAAATATGTGAGGGCAAGAATGTTAAATTCCATGGCATGATTTACTGTGAGACCAAGTCTGTTAAAATCACTGAAAGACAACCATTAGAAACCCTCATCCATCACTGTAGAGAGTAAAGGAAAACTCAAGACTAAATCCTGAACTGCTACTTCTTCCCTTCTTTCCTAGCTAAAGACATGGCTGCTGGAAGAACCGTCAAAGAGAGATGTCTGTGAAGTCAACAGAATACCAGGGCAGCCATTTAGGATAATCTCTCTTTCATGAACTGCAGAAATGAAGGAAGGTAGACAAGGAAAGAAGGGAATTTTACACAAGTTCCACCCAGGAGATCAGCGCAAGCATGGAAAGAGCAGCTGTATTAGTTTAACACAACCTGGCTTTTAGTGGGGATGTAGAAAAAACCACAGAGGCTGCTTCTGAAAGAGAAGCTCCTCAAAACTTCTACTGTGTCCAGAAGAGCCAATCCCTGAAGGCTCTGACGACGGACATCTTGGCTAGCCCAATCAGAGAAGTTAGCAACGCCTCTGTGAGCACATATTTACAAATGAAAAAAATGCATGCAAGCCCTCTTTCTTCCTGCAAGGGGTAGGGAGGTGGCCTCCGGGAAGTCTTCTGGCATGGCCAGGAGTGCCCATCCTGGCTCATCCGAGCGCCAGTAGCGGCCATGTGGCCAGGGTGGCACAGTCGGGCAGCTCAGCCAGGATTGTGCAGCCGCTGCCATCTTGGCATGACTTGCAATGAACTTTATTTATTTAGTTGCTTTTAACCAGAAAGGCAAGGGCAGCTGGTGTGGCCTGTATGGGGTCGGCAGGGACCCCATGATCAGCAGTGAAGGGCATGGCGAGCAATTGCCTGATGTAGAGCCCATACGGGATCAACATTTCAGCACTGCAAAACTCTATAAAAACTTTTCAAGTGATAGAACTTGAGAACAAATGAACCTATGGACACCAATTCTCTCCCAAGTCAGAGAAAAGAAAAAGATGAAGGCATGTGAGGAGAACAACATGGCAATGCTAAGGGCAGTGAAAAGGAGGGAGGGGGAGGAGGAGGTGCTCTGAGTGTCAGAGCTGAGATTCTTCTGCAAGCTGTGGTGAGAACTAAAGTACAAAAAACTATTTCACTGTAATTCATGAAGTGCATGGGGAGATGTAGATGTCTACCTGCAACCTGTGACCACAACATAGCAGAAGAGAAGCCCCTCCCTAAGTGAACAGAAGAAAGATTTTCAGAAGTGACTGTTGCAACCGGAATAGCTGCTAGTAAAGTCCAGGGTAAGGAAGCAAAAAGAGCCTTTTCATAATATCCACAGATGTTTAATTCAGCCATGTGGTAAGATGTTCAGGGTCCCAGGCACATTCATGGGGGGACTCGAGGTTTTTTCCTGCCGAGGGACCTGGGGATCAACCTGGTCTTGGGGCAGTACAAAGATAAGGGTCAATCAGGAAATAAGGAGGGAGTGGCTCAGGGACATAGGAACAGTGGAAGAAACCAGTGGGGTCTTAACAGCTTTTTGAGGGAAGCTTCTTGTGTCTTCCTAAACCAGGGAATGCCCCCCAGGGTCTCCTTAGTGACAAACTAACAAAACACCCCATGTTTTGTCTCCCTGCGCTGTTGGTAAGAAAGAAAGAAAGGCTTGAGGGCGGGAAGGAAAGGTGTTCTAAAGGTTTATGTTGGTACTCATTTTCGTCTTTTAATTCTACTAATAAATTTTTATTTCTGCCTTTTAAGTTTTAAGCCTGTATTACCCTTAGAGTGTTTTCTCCTAATTGTTATCTCACCCTATAAGTCTTTCAGATTTTTTCTTTTCCACTCCTCTGCTAACCTGTAGTAGAGGAGAATGAGTGAATGGTTTCTTGAGGGTGCCCGCCTTTTAGCCAGTATCAAACCCCCAAAACAGCCAACCCTGTGTTTGGCAGTGTGCACTTGGGGTCTGAGCTGAAGAAGACTGCAATGTGGAAATTTACTATTCTAATCCTTATAAAATGCCTCACCCAAAGGACTGTCCCAGCAAGTACAGCTTTCCAGAGCCAGAAAAAACAGTTATTGCACTTAAATATCACTTATGTCCCAAAGAACAGAAAACAAACATGACCTATTACAGGCCTCCAGAGAACTGCAATTTTCCCAGATCTGGGGGAGGGTAATTATTCAAAATAAATTCTGATTTTTTTTAGCAAGATATATAAAATTAATCTCCCTAGAATTCTCACGTTTCTTTTTCTAAATTTTTTTTCTTTTTGCCAGCTGCTCCTTTTCCATAAAACCTTTGCATACTAGTTGTACAGGGTTAGATTTTCTTTAAGTTTTAATATTTTTTGTTTTGGCAATATGAAGCAGTAGATACACTCCCTAGTAGATTAGTCTGTTTCTTAAATACAGATAGACTTGTTTCAAAAATTGTCTATTATCACATGTAGTCCCACGTTGGATACCATTACTACACCAACCATTCCATTATAGTTACCATGGAGAAAACTGCACATACTGAGAGGTTATCTTGACCTTTGAGTATTTTTCTTACAGAGCTTCATTCATTGGTGAGGGAAACTGGGACAACCACATTCCCAAAGAAAAAGGGTGGCAGACTGTCAGAAACATTCATTTAGAGATGACCTTTGCAATCAGCCAAGCTAAAAATACTCATCCCCCATCCACACATTGCAATTGGGCCCTCTTAATTATGCCTGCTGGTTGATAAGAAGCAAAGGCAGCAGTGTTTTATGGGGCTACCTCAGGCAGTGTCCCTGAGGTTAAGGACAGGTAAAGCTCACAGGAAGACTTGGGAGCTCTCATTAGGTTATCTGATCTGGCACACAGCTCTGGTGCAAGTTTTGATTTATTCCAAACCCACTCAGGGTTCACAAAACCCACAGAAACAAGTGAAGCTATCTACATTGGTAGCACACAATGGGCACTCTTAGAGCAGATGGGAGCAATTTGTGCCTGGCAAGTCTTCCAACAAAAAAACCAGATCTAAATGATGAAGTTCTGGTTTTCTTCTTAAAAATGATGATGGTGTTGTGGCCCTCTCCAGAGCAGAAAGTCTATGATACGGAGAAATAAACAATCTTAGTTCCTTCTGAGCCTGTCCAGAGCTTGCAAGATTTTTTGGAATAATGAGCAGGCACAGATGCCAAACAGAGGACTTAACATCATTCCTTAAAAAAAAAAAAAAAATTCTCCTACCATGTCATCTTGTTTTCCCTGAATTTATTGCAAATGCTGCTTTGTTCCTGGCAGAAGGTTATGTTTGTAGTGGATGAAGGACGATTGTCAGGGTTTGACACACAGAGAACAATAACCTATAATTTTCATAGACACATGGATGTCTGTGTCACTGCATAATTTCTCTGCTATGTCTAGGCCACAGGCTCAGTCTCTGTCAGCAGCCACAGAAAGAAAAGGGAAGTGCGGAAGAGTAAGTGGCCCCAGCAAGGCAGGAAGGAGTCAACATTGGCATAGCCAGGCCACAGTCACATGCCAACCTCTGGAATTCTGTTCAGACTGCCAATGTGCCAAGCTGGCTTCAACCACTTTAGGAGGGGGGAAAAAAGTTTTGAAATATATCAGGTGTATGAAAACAGCTATTCTATCTAAAGAAACACAAAAGGTGTTTGACAGCTCTGTTCAATAGTTTACACTGCGGCTCAGGTCAGTGGTACCTGTAATGCCTGTAATGTTTAATGCAGTCATCTTAAATGATTCCTTTACTTTTTCCCATAGGAAAGCTTTACAAACTTTGTCTCCTCCTAAGTTCTCCTGGAATGTTGATGGAAATGTTCAGAAAAAAACCCCAACCCAATGAAAATAAAACACATTTCTGCAAGACTGTAAAATGTCATTTCCTCTATGTCTGAAAAGGTGGTATATTCTCTTCATTTTAAAATGCAGGTTTAATTCATGTGTGGCTTGCTTTGAGACCTACTAGTTAGCCCGTTACCACAGCAGCTGTTGCTTCAGAAGTGGTTGTCTTGGTTAGGAAATTACAGAATGAGTTAAACAGTCCTTTTCTGACAGGCACAGAAATCTGCCATCTTTATGTAGCCACCAAGGTAAAATTTTTGTCTATCTCCATGATGATTCAGAAAGAAAGATAAGACAAAGGACCTGTTTGCAGGTTACTCATTTCCTGACCCTCTGCCAAGGCCCAACGCCCACCGAGCCAAGGCTCCCATGTAACTCCAGAGCACTCTACATATCCATGGTGTCTTCTTCAGGAGAGACGAGAAGGACACAGGAGGAGATGGGCCTCTGAAACACTGACATAGAACACTCAGAGCAGTGAAAGCCACTGAAAACCACATCTTGAACATCAAAATAGATGAGTGCTGTCCTGCCATCACATGTGGGAGAGCCCCATGGAAAAATATAGGCTGAGACTATGCTCATTCAGTCCACCCAAGGAGGCAAAGTTCAAACTACATGCATAAACTTTTCATTTTACAATTTCATACCTTCCATTTACACAAGGGGACAATGCTGGTTTCCCTGTTATTCATCCTATTACCTGGGCAACACATTTCTTTTAGGATCTCCTTTCCTCTTTTTAATTCAAGGGCATATGGTGCTTCCTTTGGTCGTGTTTTTTCCATTCTTCATGCTTCAAACAGTCAATGCAGAAGAGGAATTCCTACACCCTTTTCCTGTGTTTTGCTTGCTGCCCATTCCTCAGCAGGATCCTTGTTGCCAACTCCCATTAGACTTGCCAATAAAGTAAACAAAATCATAATTTAAGAAATCACTTAGAAAAAACATTGCCTTTTCTGATGCCCTCCATGAACTACTTTGTAACAGCATCCTGAGTGCAGCAGTCTTCCTCTTCAGCTATAACCCAAACTATATTTTGGGCCACACAGAATATTTTGTGGCATCACTGAACAGATTCTGGTCCAAGCAAATCCAGGAAACTCAGTAAGTTGCAGACAAAAGTAAACACATTTGCTTGCTACCTAACACCCAGGCTTGGATATTTTTAGCACAATTTTCAGGAAGTCCCCTCTTCCCAGGCAGTTTTGCTATTTATGCATTTTTGGGAATTCAAGGGAGTTTTGCCTTTAAAACACTGACTGCTTTACATAGAGTGTAGATCAGGGGATCTCTTTCCTAATTTCGCTCAGCTTCAGACTAGGTCAGCCAAGAGCTGCTACCCATATACTTAATTATTTTTGGCCTTAAATTGATGCCAGCTGGCAAATTAGGACCTGGGGAGAACTAGCAGGGGTTTTGCTAAATATGTTAAAGTAAATAGAAATGAAGAATTTATTCTGGCCTCTACTTATTCAGCAAAGAAAAGAATGTAAATGTTTGCAGAACATTTCAGAAAGTTTTGATACATAAATTTTGTTTAGTTTTAGTGAGGCTTTTCTACTTTCACGCAGAGCATTGCATCTCAGTTCCACATACTTTGTTGGTTATCTTTACTGGCACTGACATCATCTGTAAGACTGGATGGCCTCTTACCATGTCAGAATGGCAGGTTACACATGGGGCAGCCTAAATATGCATTTCCATAAAAAGAAGGATATTTTTTGTGGTTCTTCAAGATGGAACATATCACCAATCTCATCTGAACATCACACAGTATTTTAATAATATATTTCTAGCTAATAGGCAAGAAAATTCTCCTGGGTAGCTGAGTAGAAGCAGGGACAAAGAAATCATAGAACACCTTGGGCTGGAAGGCACCCTATAGATAATCTGTTCCAACACCTCTGCCAAGGGCACAGACACCTTCCATCAGACCAGGTTGGTATCCAACCTGGCCTTAAACATTTCCAGGGATGGGGCATCCACAACCAGAACCTTAAGGTTCCAGAACCTTACTGCACTCACAGTAAAGAATTTTACTTAATGATTTTACTTAATTAATTTTACTTAATTAACTTAAAGAATTTACTGCCCTCACAGTAAAGAATTTCTTCCTAACAGCTAATCTAAACCTACCCTCTTACAGTTTGGAGCCTATATCCCTTGTGCTATCACTACCTGCCATTGTAAAAGGGTCCTCTCCATCTTTCTTGCAGTCTCCTATTCAAGTACTTAGGTATTCAGGCACAACAAGCTTTTTCTGGAGCCATCTCTTCTCCAGGCTGAACAACCCAAATTTTCTCAGCCCCTCCTCACAGGAGAGGTGGTCCATCCCTTTAATCATATTAGTGTCCCTTCTCTGGACTCACTCCAACAGGCACATGTTTTCCCTGTGCTGGGACCCCAGAGCTGGATGCAGGGTTCCAGATGGGGTGTCACCAGAGGGGGGCAGAGGGACAGAATCCCCTCCCTCGCCCTGATGGCCATGTTGCTTTGGATGCAGCTCAGGACATGTTTGGCTTTCTGGGCAGCCAACTGCACCTTGCCAGCTCATATCCAGACTGTCATCCACCGGCATCCCAAGTCCTTCTCGGCAGGGCTGCTCTCTATCTGTTTATCCCCTGCTTTGATACCCAACACAGGGGGCTGCCCAACACAGGTGCAGCACCTTGAACTTGGTCTTGTTAAACCTTATGAGGTTCTCATGGGCCACTTCTCAAGCTTGTCCAGGCCCCTCTGGATGGCAGAGTCACATAGTCCTCTCTTACATCTTTTCATTTAAGTAAGAAGGAGCTATTGTTCCATCTCAGCTAGCACATATGCATTTTTTCCATGCAAGATTCTTGAAAATTTCCAGAGTTTGCCAAAAGAGTGTGCAATGGCTCAATAAGTGTTATGTGTTGCTTGGGACCTCCAAGTAGGTGGGTGTTCAATTTTACATTCAAGACTATACACACATATATATACACTATTGTCCTGGGGGGACGTTATGATGCTTGTATCCCCATTCATCTGTTCTGTGCCTTTAAGACCAGCTCTGAAGAGTGGAAGTTTTGTTTGGGTTTCTCTTATCAGGGACACAGAGATGAGTGGTACATAGGGCTGTTTTGCACTTCTTGCTTCAGCTTGCTGCTTTTGCTTGCTCCCTTTTTTCTGCTCTTGCTTCTGCTCTGCTTTCACCTCTGCTTATTAGCTAGTTTAGCTAAACAGTCCACATTCCTTCCTGGACTGTTTCTCCTCTCCTGTTTCTGTGGCCATCTCGAACCTGCTCTGGACTGGGACCTGGGAACACCAAAGGTTCGGCTGCAGCAGCTGCCCCAGCGCTGGAGGGACTGAGAACAGAGCAATCACCCCTGAAAAAGACTTTCTGATTTTGTCATCTTTCTTAAAGCGGTGTCATCGGGTATTGTTCATTTTGTGTGCTGGGGGTGCTGGGCCAGTCAAATAAACAGGTTCTTTCCACCTCTCTCCAAGGAATTTTTTCCTGAACCAGTTGGGGGGAGGGGCCGTGTGGGTTTCGCTTTCTGGAGGGGCCCTCCTTTGCAGATTCTTTAACACATTTGCCCTAGACCTGGACAACTATATATAGATATATTATACATAAATACATGTGTGTGTGTGTGTGTGTATAAATATATACTATATATGTAATCCAAGATTATATACAAATCCCATAATTTAAAATGGAATTCACTTATCTTCATGGTATGTTAGAACGTCAGCCTCCAGGTTGGAAGAACTGCTATTACAACGTTTGCTGCAAGCTGTTCCAAGTTTTGCATTATTTATTTGCTTATGAGAGATTAAATCTTCAGCTGGAGTTCCTCTAGGATTGCAGCTAACAGCCAAAGTCTTCTAAAATTATTTATACTGGGCAAATTGAATACAGTCTTTTAGGGTGAGCTTAGCACCTTTGAAGCCTGGTGCAAATCACACACCATACACCTATGCTGCAGTACTACAGTGTAACATCCATCAGTGCCTGCCACCCATCTTTGTATGAGCTGAACAATAGATCCAGCTAATGTAAAACCACAAAATGGACTATATGCAGCTGTTTCACATGCCTGTAATTAATGAGTATAATTCACAGAAGAAAAATTTACTCCACATCAAAGCTCTCAGAATTATCACCGAATAAGAAAAGGAGACTGTGCCCTGCAGCCACAGGCTCTACGTGAAATAAGCTATCAAGAAGGCTGAAGCTTGAATACTCACCAAAAGCCTTTATCCCTTGAGCTAAGATGTTAATTGGCGATACATGTTGTGCACATGCTCTTACAGGAGCTACGGATGCATCCACAGGTTGGCCTAGAGAGTAAGATAATGTCTATCATCAAGAGAAGCAACACCCTCTGCCTCTTCCTCTCTGCTGTAGCTGATGGAAGAGACAGTAACAAATCTGGAGTCAGTCTGGGGGCCCTGCCACTCTATTGCTAACCTGCTGAAAGCCAAAGATACCAGTGTTTAAATTTGCACTGACAGATCTCTCTCCAATTAAAATTCTGTTTCACCAGCCCTCTAGCAGAGTGTGTAGCGGGCACAAGGTACTCCAAACACAGACCAGTCCCTCTTTTTACTAAATATTATTCCTGGAAAGAGAAGGCTGCTGGTTTGACAGCTATGTAAATAGAAATAAGTTTACACTTTGTTTAAATAAATACTTGATGACAGTGTACAGTAACAACAAGATGGTTACCAGTTGTAGAGACAGGCCTTACATGTCTTCTCCCTGCATGTGCAAACTAGAACTCTGTAATCTTCCTGTGAAGCCTGACCTTGCTTCCAGAGACTGTGCTATTTCTTTTTCCTTCTGAGCTCTACGTTCAGATGAGCTGGTCTCCTTCCCTGCTTATTTGACTTACAACACAGGGGATTTGTCTGCTCAAAACACTCCTGTGCCTCTAAGAAGCAGTTGCTGAAAACTGACCAGCACTTGTGGACCCCCAAGCCCACAAAAGCAGATTCCCAGAGGACTCTGCTAAATAGCTCCCTGAATAGCTTAAAGTTTGCTCACCTGAAGTCCAGAGTAGAAACTCTAATGTCCTTTTTTCTCATTACAGTGACAATTTTAAACACTTTCTGTGACAATTTTAAACCATTCTGTGATCATTATGGCCAAGGCAGTCACATACTGCCACATGCCCCTTGAGTCCTTCTTTAGTCACAAGTAAGTCCAGGAAGGAGGGCATCTTTCCTAGCTGACTCACTGAGTACTTTTGTGAAAGTGTTATCTTCAACGAACTACTGGAGTTTCCCAGACTTGCTTGTCACATGAGTATGGTATTCCCTGCTGATGTCTGGGAAGTTGAAATCCCCCATAACGACAAAGGCTGTGGATCCAGATATTTATCTTGACTATAGAATAACTCATCAGTCCTATCATTCTGCCCGGGCAACCCATAGTAGACACCCACTACAACATTTACTTTGTTTTCCAATCCCACTATTCCTTACCCAGAAGCTCCCAGATATGTAATTTCTAACTGTAAGGACTGTACAGCCACACATCTCCCTCACACACAGTGCAACTCCTCCACCCCACCTGCCCTGCCTGTCCCTCCTGAGCAGCCTGTGGGACTCATCCCACCACATCTAAATAGCACCAATGCCGTCACAGGATTTGGAACACACTGGTGCTTCAAGTTCATCCTATTTGTTTCTTATACTGTGTGCATTGGTGTATAAGCATTTCAGATTAATAAATTAAGTGCTTTGGTGAACAGAAGCACAAACCTAAGGACTGGGGTTTAATCACTTCCTACAGGATGGCAGGGCAGGATTCAAACCTCACAATGTGGTCCTGAATCATATAAGTGTTTTATGTACATGCATAAAACACCCCCTATTTTGTATCAATGAGTAAAGGTGAGCAGTGTGCTTAGTTCAGTGCTTCCTCTAGTCAAAAACTCAGGAGGAGGGTGACACTGCCTGAGGTGGAGGATCATTTTGCCTTGACTGGCAACTGAGGGTTGCTATGACACAGTTACCATACCCCCCTAACTCTCCCTTCTTGCATCTCTGCCTCGCTCACAAGACCTATCAAGGTGCCGTCCAGCTTACCCTGCAAAAGATTTTCCAAAAGACTGAGAATAGCTCAGCGCTGTGCCGGAGCTTCATATGAAGTAAGGGACTAGACCTAGTCAGATTCATTATCCCTGGAAAGAGGGATTTTCTGCTGGTTCCTAACATATAGTCACATTCAGAGGCATCCCCAGGCATAGGCAAAATGAGATAACAGAATACACATGGTATTCTTGATGTTCCAGGACTTCAGCACAGCTGCATTTATGGAAGTGAAAGCAGAATGTGGTACTGTACTACATGTCTGAAAACATTTCCCCTATCTTCCTAAAAATTGGTTTATAATTATTATTTCCCAGAATGAACCTCATGAGTACTGGCACAAAACATTTCCTTCTTAATCTTCACAGCTTTTCAATTGTTCTCATTTAAAAAAGAAAGTGGCAAAACATCTACATATCAGCAAAACAAAAACAAAAAAAAAAAAAAAACAAAAAAAAAACCCTCAAAAAAAAACCTCCTCAAAAAAACAAAACAAAACAAAAAAAACCAAACACCATCAAAAAAACCCCAAAGCCAAACCAAAACCAAACTGGAAAAAATAACAAGGAAGGTTACAGTTTATGACATTTAATCAGAGCTTCTCAGTTCTGGAAGTGAAGCGCTTTAATGCCATGTTGTTTTCTTTGATGTGGACTGAGCCATTCAGATAAAAGTCACTTGTGAAATACTAGGGTGTACAGTCTGTGGAGGCCCTGGAGGGGCTTCTCCTAAGTTACACCCCATTGGCTCCTTCCACTATGTTCCTATGCCTGAACAGAGGTGCTCCTGAGGTTCTCCCTCCTTTTCCCTGATTGAGCCTCACCTTGATACTGCCTGAAGACCAAGGTCAGCCAGGAGGCCCCTGCCGGAGAGAGTGGGACCTTGGGGGAGAAAGTGTGTCTGAGAGGAGAACATCTCACTGTGCAGCTGAATTAAACATCTATGGATATTATGCAAAAGCCTTTTTGGCTTCTTTACCCTGGACTTTACTAGCAGCAATTCAAGCTGCAACAACAGTCTGCACTAGTTTCCTTTATAATTATCTTTTCAGCATGTTTACAGTAACAGTTCTGGAAAAAAATGGGGCTCCCTCCCACTTTTTTGCCTTTTATTGTTAAAATAAACATTAAAACATTTGATATTTTAAATACTTAATATTGTACAAATATTGTAATTTTTTTTTATAAATCCTCATCAGAAGGGTTGATGGCACTGGACTGACCACAACACTCACAGCACATTTGTCCTGGCTGAAAATAAAGGGCATTAAGTCTTCCTTTGAGCCTTGTCTCCACACCCTTCTTCAGCTCAAAGCTATGTTTCCATTACAACCACACCAGCTTGAAACCCACTAATAAAGATCTGCAGGCATCCGAGCAACACCTCCAAAACGTACGCAATCCACTGAGAGCCAAAATATGCATTGCTGGCTTATTTTCACTGCACTATGTGTGGCACTAGGGGACAACAAAAACAATACCAAGTGAACAGTCAAAAGGGCCACAAATTATGAAGTACAAAAAAAAAAAAAAAATAGAGAGAGAATGTGGGTAATGAAAAAAGTTAAGGCAGAAGAACAGAGAATATGCAAGATGGGGACAGAGAAAACCCATCTGTGAATCTGAACCACGGAAGTCACTATATAAGTTCCTTTCCTACCCACATCAATGACCTGCTCTGGCTCTCACTCCCCCTTCCCTCCTAATCACTTCTTGCAACCTGAAACTCACAGATCCACATTCTCTTCCCCCTGGCAATTTTCAGATACCTTTCATGGATTGAAGTAGTGAAGGCTACAAAATAAGAAAATAGCTCAGTAAGCAATCCACATCCACATATACATCTGTCATCTGCCCTTCCTCTGCACTCTACTTGTAGGAAATTAGTGATAGCCACCAGAAACCTCTAGGAAAAACAAAGGATCACCATTTCAAAAGTTTTGCTGCAAGGCTGAGACATTTCCCCCCTTCCTGCCTTTCTCTGGACTGGATCATTGTATCAACAGCTTTGCTCACAGGGAACAAGGCAAACTTGTAGTTGTGCGCCTTCCTGCTCAACTGCTTGGGAAGGGAAAAAGAAATGCTGTGAAGAAAGCAATCTAAACTTTCTCAGGATATGGAAAAGCCAAAGTGTTGCTGGAAGCTAACTCTCCAGAGATTATGAATGAGAAAGAAAACACAAACTCAAAATTAGGATTTAGTGAAAAATTTTAAGTACTACCCCCCCAGGACAAAATATTTTTTCTTCCAAGTAAGGGCAGAAAAGTGTACTTTTCTACATTACACTGCTTCATCATATGGAGAACAAATAACATGAGAAAAAAATCTAAGTCTCCACACCAAGAGATTTTTTTTCCAGCCTGAACTCACTGGATTTATGCAACTGGGTTATGTCACATCTCTTTTTTTTATATTGCATTTTCTTTTTTCATATATTTTTCTCCCAGAAGACTCAGTGGTCTGAGGTTTTCTCTAATGCCTACTAGGAAAGATGAAAATCTCTTATACATAGCAAAATCAGGTATTTTCCTTCTGGAAGACAAGATATCGTGGACAACCTGGACTCAATGCACCTAGAGAGCACTGTTAGAAGCAAGGACCTGCCTACAGGGACACAGCAAGCTGGGAAAAGGATACACACAGGCCCTTTATTTCTGTCACCTCAGTTTTCTCTTTCTAGAATGTGAAGCCTCCTAGCTTAAATACTAACTAAACCCTACTTTTTTTTTAATTTACAAGTCATTCTGTTTATCAGTGGAAGCTCTTGTCTTGGGAATAGGGCTACCTGAAGTCAAAGCTGGAGCCATCTCAGGATTTTATCACAGAAGTTGGCAAGCGGCATAGTAAAGTACTAGTTGCATGTACATATGTATTGATGTGTGTTCATCTTAAAACAGAGGGCTACATGTACCACAAGAAGGAATCTGGAGTATTCTTTAAGGTTTTTTGCAAGAAAAAACCCCAAACATCTTTATTTCCACATATTTCTATTTGATTCTATTAGCTAGAACTAATGACATATCTAGAACTAAAGTGATATAAACAGAAATTATCCTGTACACATGAGTGTGGGTCTGGTTTGGGGTGTTTTAGCACAGAAGCCATTAGCAAAACAACCTGGAAACAGGTGAGTTCACACAGGCAGCAAAAATCAGAAATCCTGTATCAGGCATAGATTTTCCAGAGGGGCTCTCCTCCTGTGCTTCAAATTGCACCTGATTTCTAACTTGCACTCCCATCAAAATG